CAGGATTGCATTGAATCTGTATAGCAGTTTTGGAAGTATGGCCATTTTCACTATATTGGTTCTTCCTACCCAGGAACAAGGGATGTCTTTCCATTTCTTATAACCTCTTGTTCATTAGAACTTGGTAACTTTGATGAAAGTTGTCTCCTTGTATTTGTGATGACAAGTGTACTTGAAATGCATTTGGAGTTTGAAGAGGTTTCAGTCCATAATTGGCTGGCTGCAAGGCAGGGAGGTTTGGCAGAGGGGTATCACAGAGCAGGCAGGAGGTAGCAGCAGACTAGCAGCAGCAGCAACAATGGCGGCAGCAGAAATAGCCTAATCCTTTAAATTCTTTAAAGCCTGAGTTGTGTTAGTATTCATCAAGGGTTCCTCTTCCTCCTTCTCCCAGGCCCCAGCGCAGCCCAGCTCACAAATCATCAACACCACCAGCAGCTTCTTCGCCAAGAAGTTCACTACCAGCAGCAGGTTCACCTACGACTGAGAGTTCCTCTTTCTCCTACTTTTTCTCTCTGCCCTTCTGTCTGTTCCCCCTGCTGCCATCCCATGGTCTTCAGTAAACATTGTTGCTTGCTGCTTACTGCGAGGCATATGCTTGGCAATTCTTTCTTTGTTGTACACAAGAAGCTGGGTTATTTTGACCCATTCAACTGTAACACTGCCCCCTCCCCTAGACCTTCAGGCATCCACAAAACCAAGAGCACAGGATTATGGCCTGCTTCCAACCTCATTTACAGTGTGGTTTTGACTGTCCTTCTTTGGACTTTCGATGCCATGGTACTTCCTCTAAAACCTTATATGGTCAGAAATTCCCCTTCCCAATGGGTAGGCTGAATCAGGTACCCCATTCGGCCATGACTCCTGCCAGTCCTTGGTTATAGATCCTTGCATTGTTCCAGGAGATACAGTACCTGCCCCACTGGCCATTGGCTCTTCTCACTGACCTTCCACACTATGGACTCTACCTTTGCTTCATTTGCTTTTTTTCCCTCAGTACCAGGAATTGAACTCAGGATTTTGCACTTGCCAGGCAGGTGTGGCACCACTGAGCTAAATCCCTGGCCCTTCATTCACTTTTTTTTTTTTTTGGTACTGGGGATCGAACTCGGGTCCTTGCGCTTGTGCGGCAGGCAGCAAAACCACTGAGCTAAATCCCCAGCCCTCTTCATTCACTTTTAATGAATCTTACTTTTTTTTTTTTTGGTACGAGGGATCAAACTCGGGACTTTGTGCTTGCGAGCCAGGCAGCAAAACCACTGAGCTAAATCCCCAGCATGAATCTCACTCTTGTTACTCCTTTTGAGTGTCCTCAATTCTTTGCTTGGGATACCGAGAGAACCTGGAAACAACTCCCCAGAGATTCTCCATCCAATAACAGAAGAACACTCCTGAAGCCAGCCTGTTTCACCCTTTTGTCCTAGTTGGGTGAAGAGAGATGGGAAACCTTTCTTGGAAATGTCAAGACCAACAAGAAAAAGCTGCAGGTCTGCTCTTCCCCACTTACAGCCTCAAGGGAAGGGTCAGGCAAGGGCCAGGGATTTAGCTCAGTGGCACTGGCCCTACCTCGCAAGTGCAAGGTCCTGAGTTTGATCCCTGGTGCCAAAAACACAAAAAAGAGAGAGAAGGGTCAGGTAGCCAGAAACAGCAAAGCTATGCTTGCTTTGGCAGCACCTATACAGAAATAGCAAGGCTTTGGAGAGATTCCCGCCCTAGACCAGCCTCTCCCCTTCCATGGGCCTTGCATCTTGTGGCTTAATTCCCAAATGGTCTCTCTTTACCCTGTGGCCAATGATCTCAAGGCAGCCCATTCTATTGTTAGAGGATTATCCCTTGTACTGAGTGAGAAGCTGCCACTACATAATCTCTACTTTTTTATTATATTTGGTTGTGCTTTCTTCCAGGAAGCCCCTCCTTGTATGGACAGCCCTTTACATCTGTGGGTTCCCATATCTGTGAGTTCAACCAACTGGGGATCAAATATATTTGGGAAAAAAATTGTGCCTGTAGTAAATGTGTAAAGGTTTTTTTCTTCTCATTATTCCCTAAACAATATAGTAATGTATAACAACTATTGACACAACATTCTCATTATCTTAGATATTATAAATAATCTAGAAGTGACGTAAAGTGTACAGGAGGATGTGTTACATTATATGCAAATTTATGCCATGGTATATAAGGATCTGAACATCCATGGATTTTTTTTTTTTTTTTGGTATTGGGGATCGAACTCAGGATCTTGCATTTGCAAGCCAGGCACAGTACCACTGAGCTAAATCCCTAGTCCTCCATGGATATTTGTATCCTTGGGGGTGGGCCTGGAAACAATTCCCCACAGATATGGAGGATAACTGTACTGTGTACACATTGCTTCTTCTGAGGTTCTCCTTGCTCTTCCTTCTGCTCCTGGCAAACTCCTATTCATCTTTTGAAATCAAGGCCCAAAGTCAGCCCTCCTATGGCAGAAGTGGTTGCTTCCACCTCTCACACTCAGTCTACCACTTGGTTCCTAAAGGAAGAGCAGGGCCAGGGATTTAGTTCAGTGGTACCAGTGCTTGCCTGCCAAGCACAAGGTCCTGAGTTCAATCCCCTAAAGGAAGAGCAGCTCCCAAGGCCTGACCTCAGTCACTTATCTATTTGCTATTTTTTCATTTACCTATTTGGGTTTTTCCTGATTGGCTATGACTGGAGACCCTACGGAGATCAGACTGACTTCTGGAATGAGAAGTTCACACTGTTTTTGTCTCTCTGATAATTCCAAGAAGCAATGAGTCTAGTTGTGTCTCTGACTCCCTCTATGTGCTTTACTTTGTTTTTTGTTCTTGTTTCCCCGCTCCCCCCCCCCCTTCTTGGTACCCAGGATTGAATTCAGGACCTTGAGCTTGCAAGGCAGGAGCAGCACCACTGAGCTAAATTCCCAGCCCCATTCTTGTTTTGTTTTTCGATACAGGGTCACACATTATGTAGCTCAGGCTGGTCTGGAGCTCACAGTGGTCCTCCTGCTGCAACCTGCCTTACAGGCGTGCACATCATGCCTAGCTACTTTGTTTTAATACAGGGTTCAAGCTGCAGGTTTGTAGCTTTCTGTTTTAGCTACAGTAGGGCATCAACACTACTATTTTCATTTCAATTTATTTTGATGATTCTGTCGGCTTATAACAATTGATTCTGGTTTCCAATTAGCTAGGCCAGGTGGCACAAACCTGTAATCTCAGCACTCAGGAGGCTGAGGAAGGAGGATCACCATAAATTGGAAGCCAGCCTGGACTACATAGTGAAATCCTGTATCAAAAAACCAAAACCAGGGGTTGGGGATTTAGCTCAGTGGTTCTGCCACTTGCCTGCCAAGTGCAAGGTCCCGAGTTCAATCCCCAGTACCAAAAAAAAAAAAACCCAAAAAAAGAAATAAAACAAAATCATGTTGATATACAGTTTCTTTTAAAATAAATCACACAAATAATACATGTTCACTGTAGCAACATTAGAAAGCTGAAGAAGAAAAATCCTAGTTCAAACTTAACTTCTTTACAGGTATTTGCAGTCTGTTTAGCTCTTTCCTTCTCTTCCCCACTCCCATTAGAAATCCTCTCCATACTTCCCTGTAGTCTCTATTACAATTGGCAAACATTTCTATGCATATTTTTCACTTATTCAGTAAATACTTAATGTGTCAGACATGAGAGACAAGGGAAGAGTGGTGGGCAGCTAAAGCCTTTGTCCTGGAGGGGCTGACAAGTATCAGTGGTGACTTGATATTTGTCTGCCCCACCAAGCCCCAACTCCCAAAAGGACCGTGGTTCCTTTGGTGTCTCAGAACTCAGTGCAGTACTTAGCAAGTAGATTCAATATTTAAAGGAGTCAGGAAATTAAAGCCTGCCCTCCACTTTCTCACCCCAGGCATAGGAGGAAAGAACTGCCAGTCAGTGGGTGACATTCCTTTGGGATACAGTATGTCTGAGTCCGCCCCCTCCGTGAGGTCTGCAGGCTCTCCATCTCCATCTGTGATCTGCGGGATTGTGGGCTAAGAAGGCATTAGTTTGAAGAGCAAAGAGCTGGGCATGGGAGAAAGGAGGATGTGAATTCCCATTCCCGGAGGCTCCCGTAGAGAAGGTTGAGAGGGATGGAAAAGCAAGCCTTGGTGGAGAGAAAGCGTTCTGGTTGCCTAGAGCTTTGCCTCTCTGTCTTAAATTGTTAGAGAGGCTGTTTCTTAGTGTGATAACCACTGCCGGCGGACATCCTGCCTCCACAAAACTCATGGGGTGGGGTATGTGGGTGCACCTCAGTGGTAAAGTGTTCTTGTGGGAGGGCCTAAGGTCAATCCCCACCACCAGAAAGCAAACAAAAGCGCACAAGTGTATGCACCCCTACCGCTTTTTGATGGTACTGGAGATTGAAAGCAGTGGCTTTTCATTAAACTACATCCTTAGCCGTTTTAAATTTTTTGAGATAGGGTTTCACTAAGTGGCTAAGTTGCTTAGGCTGGTTCACACTTGTGATCCTGCTGCCTCGGCTTCCCAGAGTGCTGGGATTACAGGAATATGCCACCTTGCCCGGCTGCCAGATATACCTGTACACAATTTCAGAGGGTTTACTGATCCTCCTGGGCTCATCCTCGAAATCCTGAGTATTATTATTCGATGCTCCCATTTTACCGAGGAGACCACTGAGGCTCAGAATGAAAAAATTCTTGCTTAATGTAACGGAGCGAATCAGCTGTAGAGCTGCTGGGGCTCAGATACCTGCATCCGACTTCTGCCAGGCATCTAGGAGTTATAGGAAGCGGGGTGCTACGCCCACCCGGCTGCACACAGAGGGAGGAGGGCGAGCCGCAGGGGCGGGGATCATACGGGCCCCGCCCCGAACTGGCAACGGGGGCGGGGACTTCTTCCAACCTGCGCCTCTCCAACATGGCTCCGCGGCTTTGCAGCATCTCTGTGGCGACACGGCGGCTACTGGGTAGCCCAGGACCCAGAGCGGGGGTCGCTGCCGCGCCGGCTGCGGCTGCTGCCCGGTGAGAGCCAGGGGTGGGGGTTGAGGGAAGGGTGGAGATGCCTCGACTTGGATCCCAGGGGCGGGGATCTAGGCCTGGGGAGGTTCTTGGGTAGAACAGAGGAGGTGAGAAAAGTACGGGCAGGGTCTTTGTGTTGGTGGGGACCTGCGTCTGGGCAGAGAATGAAAGGTGGCTTTAGTGGGAGGCACAGGTCCTGAGTCCTGGAGAGTGGGAGAGGGCAGAGGTAGTGGCCCATTCCTCAGGCCTTTGTCTGTGATTGTGCTTTAGCACTCACTGGGGATTCCTGGTCGGGCAGCTCTTCTCTCAGGAAGTTGGGGGAAGTTCACTGGGGACCCCCAAGGGCATGGCTGTATAGACCTCTTGCTTCTCCACCCTCAACTGTACAGGTGGGCCAGCAGAGGCCCAAGAGGAGATGGGGGTTGTCCAAGGTCGCTCTCCAGGCTGTGTGGTGGTAGCCCTGGATCTGGGACTCAGGTCTTCTGACGCACCATGCACTTTGCACCACATCTGGCTGCCTCCTAGGAGAGGGAGGTTGGCTGGGCCATGTGCTCAGTGCTGGCTGTTGTTTGCCTCTACTCTGGGCTGGGGCAGGTTTAGCCACCCCGACTGGCCCTGGGTGGCTCCTCCCTCTATCCAGTGCACTGTACTTCCCCTATCTCTGCCTTTATCACCCCGCACTTGGGACCTAGTGCTTACCTGCTTGTCCCACCAGATGATTATCTAATTTTTCTGTTTCCCCAGCTTCCCACCCCCACAGCGCTCAGGGCAATGTATGCTCAAAGAAGGTGTGCCAAAGAAGTGAGAGCGCCTGTCCTCCCACCTGTGGAAAGAAACCAGGGGTCCTTCCTGCCCAGCAGCCTGGGAGTGAAGCTGCAGAGTTCTGTTAGGCATTGCCTTGAGATGTTAAGCATCATTCAGTGGGGCTTTTGGACAGCTTGGGGAGAGGAGATGGGCTTGTGCCCCTCACCTGGACTGCCTGATATGAGGGAGAAGGCTGACATCATGAAATGAACCCGATGTTTGCCTGGCACTAGCAAATGTAACTCAGCCTGTTTTGGAGGGGTGACCTTGGTCATGTCATTTGATCTCTTCAAGACTCAGTTTCCTCATTTGTAAAATGAGGGTGACAAGATAGGTTGTACTGGGGCCAGGGATTTAGCTCAGTTGTACCACGCCTGCCTCACAAGTGCAAGGTCCTGAGTTCAATCTCTGGTACCAAAAAAAAAAAAACACAAGGAAGTGAGGGGCAGGGGAGGATTTAAGAGGCAGCAGTTACTTATTTGGTAACCCCAGTGAGGAACTAAACCTTTGAGCCTCAGTTTCCATCTCTGTAAAGTGGACATGGTGATCTATGCTTGGTACTTTTCACAGAATTGCTGTAAAGGCACTTAGATAAATATTTATCAAGTCCCTCAAAGACTGCTTTGGAGCCGGGGGTAGTGGTGCATGCCTGAAGTCCCAGCACTTTGGAGGCTGAGACAGGAGGATTGCCATGAGCAAGGCCACCCTGGGCTACATAGCAAGACCCTGTCTCAAAAAACAAAACAAACAAACAAAAAAAATTACTTTGCAAATTTTAAGCCCTGGTCCCACATTGCGTACCTGAGAACATCTCTTTCTGACCCTCAGGCTGTCCCCAAATGCTATCTATTCAGGAGACTGAGGCAAAAGGATCACAAGTTCAAGGCCGCCCCCAGGAAACATAGTGAGACTCCCTCTCAAAAAAAGTACTGCATGGGTTAGCTCTTAGCACATAATAAATGCTCAGTAAACAGTGATTTTTGTTACTGGTACATCAGTAATCTTTTTTTAGCTGAAGACATCTCTCTGGAACGATAAGCAGAAATGCAGCCCGTTTCTAAATTTAACTGATTCAAATGACAAGATATTTCAGAATGTGCATAGAGCCGAGGTTTCCAGCATATAAATCTAGAATGTTCTGGAGTTTCATGTGGGGAGGCTTTTTTTGGTGTTTGTTTGAGACAGGATCCCGCTATGTAGCCCAGGTTGACCTTGAACTCACAGGGATTCACCTGCCTCAGCGAGTGGTGGGATTTCAGGCATGCAACACCACTCCTGGCTGCATCAGATTGTTGATTGTTATTGGCAGTGCATGTATGTCATCTAGAGTAACTTTTCTTAGAGAGAGAAAAGTTCTCATGTGTTTCAAGTATTTATTGAGCAACTATCATGTCAGAAGTACTATTAGGGGCCAGGGATTTAGCTCAGAGGTTCCGCCACCTGCCTTGTAAATGCAAGGTCTCAAGTTCGATCCCCGGTACCCTCCCCAAAAAGTACTATGTTAGGCATCCTGGGGGGAATGGAAGGGGATTAGCTAGTGGCTCCTTGTGTGGCTGGGGAGTAAAACATATCTATATGAAATTAATAAAAGAATTGAGGGGAAAATATGAGATTTTTGTGGGAAAGGACTGGACTAGTCTATCTGGGGGAGTCTCTTTCACTCTTTGTGATACTGGGAATTGAACACAGGGAGTGATGAACTATATCCCTGGCCCTTTTTATTTAGAAATAGTCTTGCTAATTAGCCCAGGCTGGACTCGAACTTGTGATCCTTCTGCCTCAGCCTCTCAAGTAGCTGGGATTGCAGTTGTGTACCACCTCACCTCGCTGAGACATACCGCTCTTGGACAAAGCTAGGTCATGGTTTTCTAGGCCTGAGACGCAGCTTAGATACCACAATTTTTGGCATTTCTGGAATGATTTACTAAAATTACATGAAAAGATGCAATTGGGACTGCACTAGAGCAGTGATCCTCAAACTTGAGCAAGCATTAGAATCCCTGGTGGTCTTATGAAAACTCAAATGGTCAGGCCCAATTTTCAGCGTTTCTGTTGACTAGGTCTGAGATGGGGCCTGAAAGTTTCTAACAAGTTCCCAGGTTACTATGAAGCTGTTAGTCAGAGAACTATGGGAGTGGCAACTCCGGGCCTCTGTAGTCACCAAAATTAAAAGGAAGTTGACTCTGGAAAGCTCAGCAAAGTAGGTTAGAGCTGGAATCCCAAGTGGAGACATTTAGCTGTTGTTTTGTAGGCTTTGAGCAGAGCAATGGCATCATAAAATGGTGCATTTAAGATGGTCTTGATGGTGGATTGCAAGATCAAGCCCAACCTGGGCAGCTTAGTGAGATCCTGCCTCAAAATAAAATAAAAAGTGCTGGAGATATAGTTCAGTAAAATGCTTGCCTGCCATATGTTTGTTGTCTAGCACTGCAAAGAAAAAAGGTGCTTGACAGATAAAGAAGGAAAAGGTGAGAGCCAGGAGATGTGTTAGGAAGATAGGTAGAAATAGTGATGGTAGCTGCATTGCCACGTTAGGCCTTTTTTCTAAAAGGCCCATCCTGTGGCCCCAGTTTTACAGATGAGGAAATGAGGCCCAGAAAGATTAAGCTGAGCTGGGATTAGAGCTTGGGTTTGTCCAGAGCCTGGGCTCTTAAACATTAATATTGCTGTTGGGAATGGGAAAGTTCCCTGAGTCCACATTCTAGGCCAAGACCCATCTTCCGTTTATTATTTATTCACTTATTTATTTTAGTTTTTTGAGACAGGGCCTCACTATGTAGTTCAGGCTGGGCTTAAACTCTCTATGTAGTCCAGGCTGGCCTCGAACTCATGGCGATCCTCCTGCCTCAACCTCCTAAGTGCTGGGATTACAGGTGTGCACCACCACACCTGGCTTCCATCTTCTGTTTCTTACCTTCCAACTTTCATCATTTTCCTCTAACTGCCCCCCACCTTTATTTCCCAAACACAGATTGATCATGTACCATGTGCCCCTATTCCAGACACTGGGGACACAGAAGAATAGAGCAGGTCCCTGTGCTTATGGGGTTAATTCCGATAGGGAGACAGATAATAAACAAAACACTTAACAAGAAAAAAAAGTATTGTTTCTAGGATAGTGGTTTGTTTTGTTCTGAGTGCTGATTGAACCCAGGGCTCTGTCCATGCTAGGCAAGTACTCTACCACTGAGCTACAATTCAAGCCCTGGTATGGTATTTTAGAAGTCACTGTACATCAAAATAAGGAAGCAGGTGAGAGGGATTGGAGAAGTCAAGGGTAGGAGAACATTGCAAATTCACCAAGAAAATGAAAATTGAACTCTTGAAAATGTGCCTGAAATTGAGATCCACCCTGGAATCTTTGGACAAGTCCCTTGTTGGATTTTTACCTGTAGAAAAGATCCTTTGAGATGGGCTGCTCTACCCTGCTCACTTGACAGTTGGGGAAACTGAGGGCCATAAGTGGGGAGGATTAGAAAGTAGTGGAAAGAGCCGGGGATTTAGCTCAGTGGTTCTGGTGCCTGCCTCGAAAGCACAAGGTCCTGAGTTCCATCCCTGGTACCAAAAAAAAAGTAGTGGAAAGAGCCCAGAGCCCATCAAAGGTCATCAGATGTCTCCCCTTTACCCTCCTCAGCATTCCAGCCCCTAGCTCTTTCTGCAGGACTGGCCACTGGCTATTTATCTTAATCACTACTGATGTTAATAAATTACTGGGAGGCTTGCTCTGGAACAAAGGTCTTGGTCAACAAGTGGTGAAGCCACTCTCCTCTCTGCCACTGTCCCTCTAGGGGAGGCAGCCCCTCTACATTCAGATCAAAAGTCAACCCTTTAGTGTCCCGCCACTAAGCTACACCCCTAAACCCTATAAAATGATTGTTTTAAATTTTATTTTTATTAGTACGTATTTGCAGTACATAATGATTACATTTATCGTGGGGAATTTGTATATGTACGTAACATATAAAGTGCTATTTAAAATTTCATCAGTCCCAGTGGTTGCTTCGCATTTTGGAAAAAAAAATAATGTTTTTATTTGCAAGCCATTTTTCTAGCCATAGAAAAGGCTTGTGAAGGGAGGGGGTATGCCTACACTGCTAGAAACCATCTCTCCAGCAGGAGGCCTGCTTTTCAGGCCAGGCTTCAACCTGTACCGAGGCTGTGGAATAAGATTGACAGCCTCAAAATAAGCTGTGGCCCTGCCGGGGCTTTGTATGTATGTGTGCAGGAGGCAGGGTACAATTCTGGTGTGGCAGGACCTGGTATCAGGTCCCCCTGCTTTGAACTACTCTCACAGGCAAAACACATGGTCATGTTCACTGACTCACTCATTCTTGCAGCATCTGACCTAGGCGGGAGGGCAAGTGTCGACTGCATGAATGAAAGAATGTATCTTCCTTGCAATGCCTTTACCCCCATCTGCCCCTTTTCTCTGCCACATCAGCCCTGCAGATGCAGACTGAGCTGTTCACCTCCTCACTGCCACACTGCCAGAGTCAGCTGAAGCTTGTTCACCTGGGTTCTACCAGAGACCCTGGCTGTAACTTTGTTCTGAGGTCCATTTCTTCCAGTGGACTGTGACCTCTTCAAGGACAAGGCTCATTTGTCTGGCTATCTTTGTCGTGTCTAGGAGAGAGGCCAAGCGCACTATGACCACTGGAAAGGATAGTGAGTGCAGCCTTCTTATCAGAGAGGGTAGAACTTAGCACAGAGTAAGAGATTGTGGGGTGTTCAGCAAAGAGCACATCTGGAGAGTGGGTTACATAGGTTGAGGAGACCAGAGAGGAGGTTGATGATAGGTTCAGTCATCAGGGGCTTTGGACATCAGGCAGGGTGGGTTTGGGGATTGCTTCTCTTGGTAAGAGGCTGTAGTTGTGTGGCCCAAGTGGAGGTCCCCTTGGAGGGGGGTGAGTGGAGGAGGGAGACTAGAAAGAGAGGTGGAAGATGAGATTGCCCCCTGGACTCGTGAGGCCCTGCAGGTGCAGATTAGGCAGCTGAAATCTCTGTAGAAGGGAGTAAGTCTGCCCAGCTGATGGCATTACACACTCTGGAGCCTCCTGGGATTCTATGGCCTTGTTTCCAGAAATGTAGGTCCCTAGCCTCGGGGAGCAGACATCTGAGCTATAGAATTGCTGGGGCTCCCCTTACGCCTACATATCCCCCTGAACTCTTCTGTCTTGCAGTTCCTATTCCAAGGACAGTGAAGGCAGCTGGTTTCGCTCCCTGTTTGTCCACAAAGTAGACCCCCGGAAGGATGCCCACTCTACCCTGCTGTCCAAGAAGGAGACCAGCAGCCTCTATAAGATCCAGTGTGAGTGACTGCTGGGCTGGCCAGTCCTATCCTCTCATGGCCTCTGGGGGCTTTGAGGCTCCAGCATGGAGATGAGAGAGTTGGGGTCATCTTGTGCTATCCTGGGAGTGGTGGCCCTAATGTGCTCCTGTACCCCCAGCTGTACACACACACACACACACCACACACCTATACATATAACCTGCTTCACCTCCTGCTCTCTGTCCTCTGTTACAGTTCACAATGTGAAGCCCGAGTGTCTGGATGCCTACAACAGTCTGACGTGAGCATCCTGTATCTGCTTGTCCCAGTCTCTGCTTGGGGCATGGGGGTTCCATCCTAGAAAATCTTCAGAATGTCCCCTGCCTCATTCTCCTTACCAAGATCTGGAGCATGTAGATTTCTGAGCCAAAGTCCTGAGGACATATTGTCCAGCCTGTGCATCTTAAAGATGGGGAGACTGAGACCCAGCCCTGGAGGCCTGAGTGGGAACCCTTATCTCGGAGGCCCTGGTGGCCAGTGTGAGCCCTACCCCCTCTCTGTGCCTCTCCCACAGGGAGGCTGTGCTGCCAAAGCTCCACCTGGATGAGGATTATCCCTGCTCGCTTGTGGGCAACTGGAACACGTGGTACGGGGAGCAGGACCAGGCAGGTGAGGCACCACCTTCCCAGCACCACTCCCACTGCCCAGCCAGTGCCTCTAGCACCTCTCACAGCTGGCTCCCCTCTATTTACTACACAGCAGCTCCTTGAGTGGAGGTTTCTTTCTAAGTGCACACCTTGTTGCCTCACATCCCTGCTCAAACACCTGTTATAACTCCACAGTACCCTTGGGTGGTCCATGAGGCCTGTGAGCCCTTCCCTGCTCAGCCTCCCTTCTCATCTTGCCATATTCTCCATGCCCTCTGTTCTGTCTCACCCAGGACTTCTGTCAGTTCATGCTCTATCCTCTACCTGAACATCCTTTCTTTCTTGCCTGCTTTATCTGGTTCACTTGTCTTTAATTTGGGCTTTTGGTGTAGGACTCCCTGGATCTTCTCCCCACTAGCTGGGTCAGGCACCCTCCCTGGCTCTACATGGCTCATGGTTGTCTTTACTATTGAATCTCCAGTATGCAGCACATATTTGGGAAACTGGTTCCATCCCATCCCAGCACACCCACTAAAGCTGATGTTAGCCCCTAGGACCTGCACACAAATTCAGTTGACTCTTGGCATCTCAGCCACTCAGATGTGCCTTGGCATTTAGTTCTGTGCGTTCCAAGGCAGTGGCCATCTTGGACAACTATAGAACATTTCCAGTGTAGGAGAAAGACCTTTCAGATATTGCTAGTTTAGACTGTGTGTATTGCACAACCTTGACAGACAGAGCTCTAAACTTTCCTTGAATACTCCCAGCAGTGGGGAGCTTACCACCTCACAAGCCGATCTATCTCATCCTTTCACAGCTTTGATAATTGTGTATGTAAAAAATCCTTGATCTAGGGCTGGGGATTTAGCTCAGTGTTCCATTGCCTGCCTCGCAAGCGCAAGGTCCCGAGTTCGATCCTTGGTACAAAAAAAAAAAGGCCGGGGATTTAGCTAAGTGGTTCTGCCCCTTGCCCCGCAAGCACAAGGACCAGAGTTCGATCCCCAGTACAAAAAAAAATCCTTGACCTAATCAGGTGTTGTGATACATACCTGTAGTCCCAGCACTTTGGGACGCTGAGGCAGGAGGATTACAAGTTCAGTCCAGCCTGGACAACTTAGTGACTTAGGGAGACCCATCTCAAAATAAAAAGTTAAAAGGCCATGGATTTAGCTCAGTGGTGATGTGCCTGCTTTGCAAGTGCGAGGTCCTGAGTTTGATCCCCGATACCAGAAAAAAAAAAAGTTAAAAAAGGGGATGTAGCTCAGTGCAAAGACCCTGAGTTCAATCTATAGTACTACAATAAATAAAAATGTAAAAATCTGTGACCTACAAAGAGATAGATTTCTTTAATCATTTATTCTGTTTCAGTAACAGACACTGACATACTGGTAAGGGAATAAGAGAAAGGCAAATGGCTTTCTGTTTCCGCCACTACAGTTTTTCCATTTTTGGCATGACTCGATCAGTTCCAGCTGTACCCTTTGCTCATTTTTTTTTTTTTTTTTGGTGAGACGGGGTCTCAATATGTAGTTCAGGCTGGCCTCGAACTCAAGGCGATTATCCTGCCTTAGTCTCCCAAGGGCTGGGATTACAGGCATGCACCACCATGCCTGGCCCCAGCTGTACACCTTTGGTTCTCTTAAGTGAAATGTGCTTGGAAGGATGGAATCTTGGTCTTTCTTTCTTTTCTTCTTCTCCTTCTTCTTCCTCTTCTTCTTCTTCTTTTTCTTCTTCTTCTTCCTCCTCTTCTTCTTCCTCCTCCTCCTCCTCCTCCCTCCCTCCCTCCTCCCTCCTCCCTCCTCCCTTCTTTCTTCTTCTTCTTCTTCTTTTTTTTTTTTATCCTGTGCTGGAGCTCTAACCCAGGGCCTCCTGCATGCTAGGCAAGTGCTTTATCACTGACCTGCATCTCCACCCTGGGACCTTGGCCTTTTAAAGCATGTCCTACATTTCGTGTATTTTGAAGTGTAAACCTCCCCATATAGAGTCAGCAGGCAAACAGACCCTTGTATCATACCCTAGGAGTAGGGACCGATAATCTTTAATAAACTTATAAGAAGCATTGATCAGGGGGTAGGGATTTAGCTCAGTGGTTCCACCACCTGCCTCGCAAGTACAAGGTCCTGAGTTCGATCCCTAGTACAAAAAAAAAAAGAACCATTGTTCCATCTTCCTTGGGGACCGTTGTAATTGTCAGCAATTTCTTTCTTGGCCTGTGATGCCACCCTTGTAACTTTTCTCTGTTGTTCCCCTTGTATTAGGTTAATCCCTTTTCCCCAGGTCATCATCCTGATTTTGGTAGATTTTCATCCACATGTTACTTTTGCTATTTCCCTTGAGAACAAGACCCTTAAATCATTGTCAAGAGCTAAATGCTTATGATCCCAACACTCTGGAGGCTGAGGCAGGGAAGTTGTAAATTTAAGCCCAGCTTGGGCTACATGGTGAGTTAAAGTAGCCTGGACTACTTAGGGAGACCCTGTCTTAAAACACCAAAAAACAGTATCAGGCCATTTTTCTAGATAGGAAAATCAAAGTACAGGTGGGGGGTTAGTTTGGGGATGGGAAAACAGATTCTGAGTTTTTTTGAGACAGGGACTTACTATGTATTCCAGGCTGCCCTTGAACTCACTATGTAACCGAGGCTGGCCTTAAACTCATGAAGATCCTCCTGCCTCAGCTTCCCAACTGCTGGGATTACAGGCATGTGCCACCATGCCCTCCCCTTCCTTCCTTCCTTTTTTTTTATGTGATGGCATCTCATTCTTTTATTTTTGTAATTTTTCTTTTTTTGGGGGGGGTACCGGGGATCGAACTCGGGACCTTGCGCTTCCGAGGCAGGCGCCGGAACCACTGAGCTAAATCCCCAGTCCTGTAATTTTTATTAGTACATGTTCACAGTACATAATAATTATATTCATTGTAGGGAGTTGGCATATGTACATAGCACATCTTAATACTTTTTACATCCTCTTCCCCTCCTCTCCCTCCCCCCAGAGTCTGAGCTTTCAAACCACCGGTCAGCCACCTGCCTTCAACTCTAGCCTGCCTAATTGACCCTTTGGGGACCATTCTCCCTTGGTGGGCCAGCCCTGCTCCTGGGATGGCAACACCATTTCCTTTCTTCTCCACAGGTAACTATGTACCATTCTTGTCTTTTTCTTTTCTTCCTTCCTTTTTTCTTTTTTTTTTTTTTTTTTTGTGCTGGGAATTGAACCCAAGGCCTCCTCATGCTCTACCACTGAGCTGCATCCCCAGCCCATGGTTTCATTATTGGAAGCAGGTTAATTTCCTAGGGCTACCATAATAAAATGCCATAAACAGGGTAGCTGAAAACAACAGAAATTTATTCTCTCACAGTTCTGAAGGCCAGAGGTCTGAAATCAAGGTGTTGGAGGGTCCACATCCTCCAGAGCTTCTAGGGGAGGACCCTTCTTGCTTCCTCCAGTTTCCAGTAGTTGCCAGAAATCCTGGGCATTCCTTGGTGTGTAGACACGTCACTCTGGTCTCTGCCTTCTGACTCACATAGTGTTCGCCTGTGTCCAAAGCTTCCTCCTTTGATAAAGATACCAGACATTAGTTTTAGGATCCACCCAGTTATGATTTCAATTCAATGATCTCTACAAAGACCCTGTTTCCAAATAAGCTCACATTCTGAGGTTCTGGGTAGGCATGTATTTTGAGGGATATTATTCAACCCCGTACAGAGAATAGGAGAAAATAATTCTAATGGTACAAAGAGTTTTCAGTGTAAAGTAAGCTTCTCTCTCTCCTGAGGCCCCCAGGCCTTAGTTCTCTGCCCCAGCAATATCTACTGTCCCAGTCTTTTGGGCCTCCATCAAGAGTGGATAGATACATAGATCAGCATCTCTAGATTCCCCCTACCCCACTTCATAGCATTCTCTACTTGCTATTCTATGTTCTGTTCCTTGGTTTTCCTTTTCTTTTTTTTTTTTGGTACTGGGGATCAAACTCAGGTCCTCGCGCTTGTGCAGCAAGCCACGAAACCACTGAGCTAAATCCCCGGCCCTCCTTTTCTTTTCTTAAAACAGAATCTTTCTATGTTGCCCATGCTGCTCTTAAACTGTTGGGCTCAAGTGATCCTCCTGCTTCAGCCTTTTGAGAAACTGAGACTACCATGGTGTGCACTGCCATATACAGCTACAATTTCTCTTCGAGGTTGTCTTCCTCCTCCTCCCCCTCTTCCTCCTCCTCTTCCTCTTCTTCCTCTCCTCCTCTTCTTCCTCCTCTTTCTCTTCCTCCTCCTCCTTGCCCTCTTCTTCCTTCTTCTCCTCCTTCCTCTCCCTCCTCCTTCTCCTCTTCCCCCTTCTCCTTTTCCTTCTCCTCCTCATTCTTCTTGTTCTTCTTGTTCTTTCTTCTTCTTCTGGAGACAAGGTCTTGGTATGTATTCCAGGCTGGCCTTCAACTCACTATGCAGCCCAGGGTGCCCTCGAACTCAGGGCAATCTTCCTGCCTCAGCCTCCTGAGTACAAGGGTTACAGATGTATGTCACCATACATGTCTTTTTTGGCTTTTTTTTTTTTTTTCCAGTACTGGGGATTGAACCAAGAGTGCTCACACTAAGCTACACCGCTGTCCCTTTTTTTTGTTTATTTTATTATTATTTTTTGTACCGGGGATCAAACTCAGGACCTTGTGCTTTTGAGGCAGGCACGGCGCCACTAAGGTAAATCTGTGACCCTTTATTGTTTATTTTGAGATAGAATTTTAAGGTACTAAGTTTCCCAGGCTGTGCTCAGACTTGCTATTCTCTTGTCCCAGCCTCCCCAGTAGCAGGGTTTACAGGTGTGCACCACTCCATCCAACTGGTTACTATTTAATTTACTCCCTGGAATGTTTTATATCAACCCATCAGACCTCCTTTTGTCTATCCTAACCTTCATAGGCCTGGTGGTCATCCTTATGAGTGTTGCTGTTCCTAGGATACAGGGCACATCTGATCCTTTTTTTCTTTTTTTTTTTTTAGTATAGGGATGGAACCCAGGGTCTTGCACATGATAAGCACATGCTCTACCACTGAGCTACAGCCCAGCCACTTCTAATGCTCTTGCTGCTATTTAAGAAAGGTTGGGCAGGAGCATTATTCCTATCTTCTTCAGGATGACGACTTGAGTCCTAGAGGGGTTGGAGGCCACCTGGCAGAGCTGGAGCTCAAACCCAGGTCTCCTGGACTGTGTGAGGTCATTCGACCCACCCCACCGCCACCTTGCACCAAAGCCAAGGGAACTCAGACAGTCCTGATGCTACAAGGATCGAGGGAAGGGGACCCCACCACCACCATTCCCACACACACTTAGCCTTGGGATAAGCCAGGCAAGGCCCAACAGCCCCCTGACCTGCACCCCACCCCTCCAACAGTGCATCTGTGGCGCTTCTCAGGCGGCTACCCAGCCCTCATGGACTGCATGAACAAGCTCAAAAACAACAAGGTATGTCAGCAACCTCTTGGGACCCTTTCTGGCTGTTGGTTTCAGCCCAGCCGGGCTGCCCACGTGGTACATGGCTGGGGTGGAAGGCTCTTCCTGGCTGCTGTGCCCATACCACAATGCCCACAGGAGTACCTGGAATTCCGAAAGGAACGGAGCTGTATGCTGCTGTCCAGGAGAAACCAGTTGCTCCTGGAATTCAGCTTCTGGAATGAGCCACAGCCTAGAGCAGGCCCCAACATCTATGAGCTGAGGACATACAAACTCAAGGTGCCTCCCTCCCTCCACACCCCTTCCACCTCCCACCATCCCCATCCCTGCTTTGGTGCTGCTTTGGAGGTGCCTGAGGGCGGTGGGCCCTGTGTGTCCCAGTGCCTGGACTGGGCCCCTGGCCACCCTGGCACCATGGGCTCAGAGAAGTCTATGTTCCTGTGTGTACCTGGGTAGCAGTGTGAATCAGATCCTGTGGATGAGGCTCCTGGAGCTGGACAGACAGCATAGTTTCCATTTCTGCCCTCTTGTGATGCTAGGACTCCAAGGTGGGGCTCATTCCCCTCCTCCTTCTGGTTCTGTTTCAGCCAGGAACCATGATCGAGTGGGGCAACAACTGGTGAGTTGTGGCACTGGGGCTGGGGGTATGGGAAACCCCCAGTGGGCCACTTGTCCAGAGCTGTGTCACAAGAAACCTGCTCTGCCACTCATGTATCCAGAAAAGGATCCAATCCTGACACGTAGGTCTCCTAGAAGAAGTGAGGCTGCTTTTGGTAGAAAATCAGCCAGCGGCTTCACCTCCGTCATTGCCCAAGCATCTCTGAGAGCCACGGGCCCTACTTCAGGTCCTTCTTGTGAGATGTGGCCAAGGAATCAGCCTAGGGCTACCTTGGGAGTCCCTTTGCAATGGCCTCTTCCCCACACTCTGCCATCTCCAGGGCTCGGGCCATCAAGTACCGGCAGGAGAACCGGGAAGCTGTGGGCGGCTTCTTCTCACAGATAGGAGAGCTCTACGTTGTACATCATCTCTGGGGTAAGTCAGAGACTTTCCAGGAGGGCCGGGGATTTAGCTCAGTGGTTCTGGTGCCTGCCTTGCAAGCACAAGGTCCCGAGTTCGATCCCCGGTACCAAAACAAAACAAAAACAAAATAGATACTTTCCAGGAGCCTTCTGTTTGTTCCCTTTCCCCATTGCCACTTGTAAACAATGGGAATACATTAGTGCCTGCATGGAAATTACACTCTAGTAGAGGGAGATCTTACCTCAGACATAAACTAATAAAAAAATTAATTCAGATGTTTATAAATAATAATATCTAGGGCCAGGGATGTAGTTCAGCGGCGCTGCACCTGCCTGGCAAGTGCAAGGTCCTGAGTTCAATTCCCAGTACCCAAATAAAATAATAATAACAGTAACAATAACAATATCTGTGGAAGAGGGGACGGGGATTTAGCTCAGTGATTCTGCCGCCTGCCTTGTAAGCACAAGGTTCCAAGTTTGATCCCCAGTACCAAAAAAAATATCTGTGGAAGAAAAGGCAGGTAGAGGTGATAGAGAAAACATAGGAGGGCTTATCTTGGCTTGGGCAGACAAAAAAGGCCTAAGAGGTAATGTGTAAGTTTAGAGCTAAAAGGAGGAGCCAGCTGTGAAGTGCTAGGCAAAGGCACTGGAAGTGAGAAAGGCTGTTTTTTCATTTGTTTGTTTGTCTTTGTTTCTTTTGGTACCAGGATTGAACTCAAGACCTTGCACTTGTGAGGCAGGCTGGGTGCCACTGAGCTAAATCCCCGCCCCAAGGCTATTCTTTTTGTTTTCTGAGATAGGGTCTCACTGTGAAGTTCAGGCTGGCCTTGAACTACTATGTAACCAAAGGTGGCCTGGAACTTGTGGTGATCCTCCTGTCTCAGCTTCCAGAGTGCTTGCTGGGACTACAGACATGCACGCCCATACCCAGCTGCCTTTGAGGTGGTTTTTTTTTTTTTTTGGTACTGGGGATTGAACTCAGGACCTTACGCTTATGAGGCAGGCTCTGGAACCACTGAGCTAAATCCCTGGCCCGCCTTTGAGGTTTTGAGGGGTGGAAAGAAAGCCAGTGTGGAATAAGTCAAGGAGAGTGGGAGGAGATGGGATAGGAGAAAGGGCCAGACACTATATAAACTGAGCCTGACAGGCTATGGGGATGAGTTGGGATTTATCATAAATGCAATGGGAGGCTGCTACAATGTTCTTATATGACTCCTCTGGCTGCTGTGTGCTTTACTGAGAGTGCCTGGTAGAGGAGCAAGGATCTGGAGATGCTTAACACTTATTCATACAGGGAAGGATGGGGCCAGGCCTCAGGAAGTGGCAGTGGGATGCAGAGGCGCCCACAGAGTTACAATGTTGAGGCTGACCAGTGGGACTTGAGGATGAATTGTAGGGGGCAGCGGGGGGTGGGGGGACAAAAGAGAAGATTCCAGAACTGCTCCCAGGCTCCTCTCTGACCAGCAGAGTGTTTTTTACCAAGACTGAGAGATCTAGGGGAGGAGCATGACAGAGGGGTCAGGAGTTTAATTTTGGCTCTTTGAAATGTTAGATTTAAGATGCTGGCACATTCAAATAGAGATGTCACATGGGCACTACACATATACTTAAGAGTCAGCAGGAGAGTTTGGGGCTGGAAATACAAAGTGAGGAGTTGTGAACATGTGTACTCTGAAGGCCATTCCCCACCATGAGAGCTTTGTGCTGTTCCCTCCACTTGGATTGTTTTCCTCCAACAATTCATAGCTGGGTCATTCTCCTCATCTGAGTTTATATTTCAGAGAGGCTTTGGTTTCTTTGTCACCATGTTTCTCTATCATGCCTCTCTGTTTCTTCTCTATAAGTATTATTTGTAATTATCTGAAGTTAATCTTTTCACTGATTGGATGAGATTGACAAAGCAATGTTTGCTGATAGCCTGAAGTAGGAAGAGATAGTAGGTCAGGGCTTGGGGCAGTGGGGGCCCTGTGTTGGGGAAGGGGTCAGATCCTCTATGTCTGAGGAATGAGTCTCTGCCTTTCCCACAGCCTACAGAGACCTGCAGTCTCGGGAGGAGACTCGAAATGCTGCCTGGAGGAAGAGGGGCTGGGATGAAAATGTCTACTATACAGGTGAGCACCTCCTCTCTTGGTCAGTGCGGCCTTTGGAGGTCATCTGCTGGGAGCCCTGTCTGAGGAGGTGGGAATCTCCTCAAGGAGATCTAGCCTTACTTGATTACCTGCAGTAATGGGAAGCTCACTATTTTGGGGGGGGTACTGGAGATTGAACTCACAGCCTTTGCACTGGGTTATATCCTTAGCTCCTTTAAAAAATTTTAAAAATTATAGCCAGGTGTGGTGATGCATGCCTATAATCCCAGTACTCAGGAGACTGGAGCAAGAGGATAGCCACAAGTTTGAGGCCAGCCTGGGCTACACAGACAGTTCAAAACTAGCCTGAACAACATAACAAAAGCCTGTCTCAAAAAAGAAAATTAAAAAATTTTGAGACACGGTCTTGCTAAGTTGCCCAGGTTGGGCTTGAACTTGCAGTCCTCCTAGAGTGCTGGGATTACAGGTGTGTGCCTTGGGGCCCAGCAGGGAACTCACTTTAAGATAGTGAAGTACTGGTTTTCTGTTCTGATGGCATACTCCACATGGTACAGACAGTCCTAACTGAGTGCTCTAGGGGACCATAATACAGTCAGGTGACCCCTGCCTGGGAGCCGCAGAGTAGCTGAATGCCTCCCACCACTTTGGGGACAGCTTTGCACTGTGCTGAGGCTACTTCTTCCTCAATAAACTGATGGTCTTGATACTGACTCCCTCACAAGGTGGCCAGGAGAACTTATGAACTAATTTATGACAAGTGCTTTGGCCTCACTGTGGCACAGAAGCATGCTGCAATTTTTTTGTTTTTGAGCAGGTTTTTTGCCACTTTGCTAGAAGCTGGAGTCAGTAGGTGTTAATGGAGTCCTCACTGTGTTGGGGGGGGCACATCTATAAATAAAAGCCTGTCCTTGCCCTTGAGGACCTTTCCCTCCAGCTGTGACACTTCCAGTGGGTGTGAGGGAGATCATGTCTACTGAAGGAGGTGTACAAGCCTTGCTGTTCAGTGTGCTCCCAACGGACAGTAGCCACATCCCCAGGGCACTCGTTAGAAATGCCCATCAGCTCCCCCAGCAAGCTACTAAACCAGAATCTGCACTTTAGCAGGAACTGTGGGTTATCTGTATGCACATTAAAGTGTGAAAAGCTGTGAGCAGTAGGAGAAGCTTAACTTTCTGGGTGACTGAGCTGACCCTCTCTGGGCTGCAACCTCCCCATTGTAAAGTGAGGCATTTGGACTAATTCATTGTTTTTCAAACCTCAATCACTTGAGGACCCCCATACAACTTTTCCCTCAATGCTAGGATACTAGGTACTATGATTACAGTTCTTCCTTCCTTCTCTTTCTTCTCTTCTTTCCCTCCTGCACATGCTCTGTCTCTCCTTTCTTTTTCTCATTCTCTTTCTCCACCCTCCCTCCAGTGCTGAGGATTGAACACTCAGGACCTTGCCCGTGCTAATGATCACATACTCTACTGCTACTGAGCCATATCCTCAGCCTTACAGTTATTTTCTTTATATCACCATACTTTGTCCATAGTGGTATCTGAGAAAGAATATTTTTACTATGCCATTATTTTGTTTTGTTTTGTTTGGGGTTTTTTTTGGTACCGGGGATTGAACTCCGGTCCTGCTTGCGCAGCAGGTGGCGAAACCACTGAGCTAAATCCCTGGCCCTGTTTTGTTTTTTTGTAGTGCTGGGGATGGAACCCAGGGCCTCACATGCTAGGCAAGCACTTTTGCACTGAGCTACATCCCCAGCCCTGTACCAGTTATTTTTTCCACATACACAGGAAAAGATGCAATATTTTTTTAAAGAATGTTCATGTCATCACCACCAAAGTCCTGTCTTAGTAATTTGGGCAACCTACTACTATCCATGGGCCCTTCTAGGAGGGCATAAAGCTTTCTTGTCTTAGTATCTGATGCCTCTTTTTAGAAGCCTGTGTGTGTGTGCACGCACGCGCGCACTTGTGTACACACATACTCCTTGCCTCCGCCCCTTGTGTGACATCTGTCCCTCTCTCCACAGTCCCCTTGGTGCGACACATGGAGTCTCGGATCATGATCCCCTTGAAGATTTCGCCTCTTCAGTGATGCTGCTGTTACCTCCACCTCTTTCCCCTTCTCTCTCAGGGCAGCCTGGGGCAGATGAACTTCTGGTCCTGCTGTATTGGTTTTCTCTGGGCTCTGAGAGGACTCCAACAGGTAGAGAGAGTTCAGCTCAAAGATGACAAGATTTTGAGGAGTTACAGTTCTGTCCAGAACTTCCTACCTTCCCTGTCCACCTCCTTCCCTCTGCTGGAAGTAGTTTCTAAGTTCTCTGAATGAAGAATAGAAACCTTTTAGGTCTTGTCACATTTCGCCCATAAGATTACTCATCTCAAGGCCTCCTGTCCCCAGATATCACCATGGAAATCCTTGGTTTAGCTCAGTTGCACAGAAGGTAGGATAAGTGTGGTTAGAGGTGGGGTGGGAAAGGAGGAAGTCAGACCAGGCATGGCCCTCAAGAATTCCCTGGTCTCCACTGGGTCACCCACTCGCTGGACAAGTAAGTCTGAGCCAGGTTCCTCTTGCTGAGAAAAAGCTTGGAACTCCCATGAACCCTCAGCTGTCAAAGAGATCCAGAATTCTACCCAGTGAAGCTAAAGAAAAGGATTGGAATAGGGAGAATTTGGGAGCAGGAAACACATGGAACAGAAACCCAGAAGCTAGCACACAGAATTCAGAACTTGAGTTTGAACTGCAGAATTTGGAATACAGAATTGGGGAATAGAACAGAAGTGACAGAAGACCCCTTGGGTGGTCTAGATACTAGACAAATGAAGAGAGGCTGATTTCCCCTTACATAATGAGTTTGAAACTAGAATATGTAGTTCTGGCCTTTCTCCTGCCAGGTCCCTTCTTCCTGCAGGCAACACTACAGGCCAAGGCCAGTATTTCCATCACCTGCATTTCTTCTTCTCCACCTGACATTCTGTTATCCTAACCCTCATTTTCCAGAGCCATGAGATCTGGGGACCTCCTCAGTGAACCCTGGTCCCAATACCTCATGAACCCCTGGGTAGCTTGATTTTGCCTCCCTACCAGGAAAACGTGGAGTTGCTTATGGAACCAATTAAATATTTACTATAAGTTGCGGCGTCATTTCTTATCTGCAAGGAACTTCAGCAGGTACCCAAGGGAGGGAAAAGCAGAGCTGACCAGCTACCCAGTTCTGCCTAGCTGTTCTGCCCCCCCAGAGGGTACTGTGTTCCTGCGCTATTCTCAGGGAGAGAATTTCCATTGTCACACCAGAGCAGAAAGACCTATTTTCATAACAAAGGATTCAGGATGGGAGTATTTATAGCTCCAGGCAAGTGGGATTTTACACCAAAAATCCTTGGCCCTGTCTTACAGTTCATGCCAGGGATACGAAACGCTGAAGCTTTCAAATACAATACTGCATTCAAAGCTGGTCATGGTCGCGTTTGTCTGCAGTCCCAGCATTCTGGAAGGCTGAGGCAGAAGGGCTGCAAGTTCCAGGCCGGCCTGGGCAACTTGGCAATTTAGAACCTGCTTTGCAAGCGCAAGGACCCGAGTTCGATCCCCGGTACGACCTCCCCCCCCCAAAAAAAAGGCCTGAGGATGTAGCTCAAGTGTGAAAGCCCTAGGTTCAATCTACAATACAATAGCTACAATCTTAAAACACACCACAAACTCATTTATTCAGCAAATCAGCAAAGTGCCCACTAACTTCTGAGCTCAGCTTTACACACTAGGAAAAGTGAGTCCTTGGCCTCAAACCTCGTTTGCCGATACTTAGGGCACCAATAAAGGCGCTTCCCAGTCCGAACCCGCTGCTTCCCTGTTTCCCACATTACCCTGCGGTTCTCGCGGGATAAAGCGCTCTCCGCCTCACTACAGACAGCCGAGCCTCACTTCCGGCCGGCCGCTCTTTCCTTCTGTTTCTCTGTGGTACGTGCTTCGCGGTCGCCCCGCTGCCGGAAGTAGTTCGCTGGGTCGGATTAGTTCGAGGAGCGGTGAGGTGAGGTGAGGAGGGAATTAGGGTGGTGGGGCGGGGAGGTGAGGTGGACTGGGCTGGGAAGTCTTGGACAGCCGGAAGGAAAGGTTCTATTTGCAATTTCCAGGGTACCTGTTCGGGGGCCTAGCGGTGTTTTCTCATCTGGAAAGCATTCGTTACAGTATCTTATGGTTCCACCTTGTAATCTTCTGATGATATGATGATGATAGTGTGGTTTTTTTTTTTTTTTTTTTTTTTTTTTGGTGGTACTGAGGATCGAACCTAGGAGCACTTTATCACGGAGCTATATCCGCAGCCCTTTTTGGTTTTTATTTTGAGACAGGGTTTTGCTAAATTGCCTAGGCTATCTTGGAACTTGCCATCCTCCTGAATCAGCCTCCCTAGTAGCAGGAATTACTGGCGTGTGCCACCACAACCAGCACAGTTTACGTTTATTGTACATTTTTGCGTGCCAGGCACACTATGTTGTCAAAGTTGGGAGTTCCAACACTTAAGGCTTTCGAGTCCTGCCTTTGTGGATTTTGCTTAATCAGTTTACTATTAACTTCCCAGTACTTCTCAGTAACCCTACTAAGGGTTTTTAATCCAGTCGCTATTTTTAAAAATTAATTTTATTGGTACATTTTAGGTATACAATATAATGACATTCATCATTGGAAATTTGCACCTTTACATAACCTTTCTTGGTTCCAGTCCCTATTTTTTGGAGGAGGGTGCTGGAGATTGAACCCAGGACTCATGCTCTACCACTGAGCTACACTCCCGGCCCAGTCAATTTATTTAATAAACAAATTTTCTTTGAGAAAACTTCAATATACTTAATGTAATGAAAAATCATTGTTAACAAATTTAGTCCAGGTTTCATTGTCTCTAAATCTCTGAAGCAAAGTCCTTTTATTAAAAAAGAATCTTGCCATGCTTAGATGTTAAAGGCAAGCCAGGGAACTGAGATGTTATTGAAGTGATTGGAAGCTTCAAAAAAGAATCGAAAAGAGAGTGACTTTTTCCTTAGGTGTCCAGCATTATGTAAGATCACCCATGTACCATCTAAAGCCCCATCCCAGTTCATGTTCATCACCTTCCCCAGTGAAGTGTCACCTGTATTAATGCCTCTGACAACCCCTGAAATAGGGACTCACTTGATTTGTGAGGAAGCAGACCCAGAGAAAAGGGAAGTGACTTGTCCCAGAACTCAGAGCCATAAAACAGCAGAGTGAAGATTCCAACTCCAGGCTCTCTGACTCCACCACAATCCACTGTTGGCTCTCTCAGTGTTGGTGACAGGTTAATTAGGTAAGGGACACAGTGCTGCCCACTTCAGGGTGTTGTGATGACCATGAGAGGTGGCAAGGGAGTTGACCAGGGAATTTGGACTTTTCAATGCATTGTAAAGAGCCAGTAAAGATTTTAAAACAGAAAAGGGATTAATTAGTTGGATCTCCTTTTACAAAAGAGAATTTAGACAGCATTGCTCTGTAGGACTGTTATTTGTAGTCTAGGAGAGGAATGTGGAGGCCGGGCCTACAGTCTTGAGTTGGGAGAACATGGCACCTGTGGTTGCTAGGTGAATACCAGAATGCAGGATGCTTTTGTGGAGAGTGTGTGCAGAATGTGAGTTGGGATGGGAAAGGAGAGGTTAAAGATGACTGAGTTAGGGCTGGGGATTTAGCTCTGGCGCCATGCCTGCCTCACAAGCCCAAGGTCCTGAGTTTGATCCTCAGTACTGGAAAAAAAAAAATGATTCTAAGTTCAGTGGGTAGTTGGTGAAGCCTGTTTTAAAAAAGAGGAGGTACGGGCCAGGGATTTAGCCCAGGGGTTCCTTCACCTGCCTCACAAGCGCAAGGACCTGAGTTCGATCCCCAGTACCAAAAATAAAAAAATAAAAAATAAAAAAGAGGAGGTAGGGCCGGGGATTTAGCTCAGTGGTTTCACCGCCTGCTGTGCAAGCGCAAGGACACGAGTTTGATCCCTAGTACAAAAATAAATAAATAAATAATAAAAAAGAGGTAAAGGGCTGGTGATGAAGCTTAGGGGTAGAGCACTTGCCTAGCCTTTACAAGGCCCAGGGTTCATTCCTTAGCATTGGAGAGAAAAAAAGAGGTGGCGCAGGACAAATTCATTTTGGACAGAATAAAAGATGATTCTCGATTTTACAGAGGCTTAAACTAGGGCTTTGTAGGGTTAAGTAACTTTCTTGAGTTACTAAGATTAAAAAAAAAGAAAAAAAAGAAATCCTTACTTCTGACCCTAGAAAATCTCAAAGCTTTCTCCTCTTAACAGCTTTCTCCTCTTTCTGTTGTTTCTTCCCTACCTCAAGGAACGACCATGTCATCAGAATCAAGCAAAAAACGGAAGCCCAAAGTGATCCGAAGTGATGGGGCTCCAGCTGAAGGAAAGCGGAATCGATCTGACATGGAACAGGTGAGTCAGCCACAACTCCCATGCTGCTGAGAGATTGCAGCTCACAGATACCTGCCAGTGGGTTTGCAGCAGCTCAGAGTTGCATCTAACAGAGAATCTCCCAATGGCCTCCATTTGACCCACAAACTAGAATTTCTATGATTCTATACAACCTAAGTGTCTATATCAGGTTTAACTACAGTATCCCAAGAACCAACAACCCTGCATTATACATGATTAGGACCTGCATAGAGAATGTGTTTGTTGTGCTGTGTCTCCATTTTTCCTGATACACACAAGGCAGAGGTTGTGTCTGCAGCACAGCACTGAAGCTTCAGAGATTTTGCATCCTGGGGCCTGCAGCTAAGAGGGTACCTAACCATGTGCCCATATGACTTCTGCTTTGGTCAGAGAGCTCTCATGGTCAGCAAGTTCTTCTCTTGTCTATTTCTCAGACCTTGAGTATGTCAAGCTAACTCATGACTTAGCTGTTTTGATTGATTGGCTAGTTGTATTTTTATTATTGTTCTTTTGGGTTTTCTTGTTTTCTGGTTCTGGGGATTGAACCCAGGGGTGCTGCATCCCCAGCCCTACCTACTTATTTACCTATTTGTACTGTTTTATTTTTTTTTTTTTTTTGGTTTTTTGAGACAGGGTATTGCTATGTAGCCTAGCCTGGCCTTAAACTCATGGTGATCCTCCTACCTCAGCCTCCCAAGTGCTGGGATTACAGGTGTGTGCCACTATGCCCAGCTTATTTATACTTATTTCTGCAGTCCTAGGGATTCAATCCAGGGCATTGTGCATGCTAGGCAAGCACTCTACTGCTGAACCACATCCCTAGCCCTTTATTTTTTATTTTGAAACAGGGTCTGAGTTGCCCAGTCTGGCCTCCAACTTGTGATCCTCCTGCCTCAGCTTCCTAAGTAGCTGGGATTATTGGTATGCATCATCATGCCCTGCTTGTTCGGTTTCTTAAAAGTAGAATAGGGGTTCAATCCCCAGAACCAAAAAAAGTAGAATAGGGAAACATACCAACTTTAATTTGAATTAAAGAACAATAGGCTAGGTACACTGGTAGTAGTAGAGTGCAGGTTTAGCATGTAAGAGGGCCTGGCTTCAATGCCCAGCTTCAAAAATAAAACAAAACAAAACAAGACTCTTAGCACTTTTTTTTGGGTACAGGGATCGAACTCAGGACCTTGCGCTTGTGAGGTAGGAGGGTGCCACTGAGCTAAATCCCAGGCCCCAGCACTTGTATTTTTAACTTGTGGACAAAGAAAGACTTATAAACAAATGCAAAATATGTAAAAACTTCCCTTGCAAGGGAGATCAGGGGAATGGGGAAAAAATAAGAACCAAGATATATTATGTAAAGGTACAAATTTCCAATGATGAATGTTATTGTATTGTATACCTAGAATGTATCAATCATTGTTCATTATCAGTTTTTTTTTTTTGGTACTGGGAATCAAACTCAGGACCTTGTGCTTGTGAGTTAGGCGCGGGTACAACTGAGCTAAATCCCCAGCCCATCAGTTTTTTGGGTTTTTTTTTTGATACCGGGGATTGAACTCGGGTCCTTGCTCTTTCAAGGCATAACCACTGAGCTAAATCCCCAGCCCTCATCAGTTTTGATACACATAAGAAATATTATGTAAAGAAGAAAAAAAGGAAAAGAGAAAAAAAAAACAATTTCCTTACATTTAGG